GATAGGAATGTTGGGTGAAAAACTTAAATTTCAAGTACGTTGACTCAGCCAAAAATTATTGAATCAAGTCCTTTTGTTGGCCAAAGGCTGGGATGCTCTCATTGCCCTTCATGTTTGGATACTTTTGCTTTCTCCAACTTGAATTTCTTTGAGCATGAGACTATCCAATGGCCATAGACATCACCACCCTAAAAGAACTAAAAGAGGGTACTCTTGAAGCAAAAACTGGCTTTTTCTGCAACTTTATTTCATCATGAACATATGAACATAATTACTGATTGATGATTTCAAACTTTATAGTGTTGTGAGTTGGCATGGGGGCTTTAAGCAATAATGCTTCGAAAGGTTATAGTTTATTTAAATCAGATGCTCTTTAAGGAACTGGCTAGAGTAGACAAGGAGTGAAGCGTAGGGCAGGCAGGGCAACACATCAGCTTGGGAGCCATGGAATGCCCAGCTTTGCTGCAATGTGAGATTTGCACCTGCAGCAAACAAACTTTGGGTTCCTCTAGAATACAAATGGAGGAACTGTGTATACAAATAGCACTCAGTCTGGAAATTCCATGCCTTCCCATATTGGTTTTTGTAAACAGAGTCTTAACACCCATATTACATACCTAGCCAGGGCTGCCTATAATCATTCCAGTTCTTTTGGTGAGTAGACAGTAACTGCTTCAGAGGCTAGACTCTTAACTTTAATGCTTATGTGCTTTATTTATGGAGCATAACTGGTCCAAGACAGCTCTTCTTTAAATTAAAAAATACATAATCTGCAATAAAATTTACCGGTTCTCTATGCAACAAGTTCTTTCTCTAGAAACATTCATCTTTGAAATTCCTAACTCAGGATTCTCAAAGGGCCAAGGAGAGTAATGAAGATCTTGATGAAATAGCCAACAACTTTGAAATATCATTTCTTTAGAACAGTGTCAGAACCACTATGGGTGGTTGTTAAAACGGAGATTGCTGGAGTTCAACCCAGGTCTACGAATCAAAATCTTGTGCTGGTTCAGGAATCTTCCATATGTGTATGTCTCACAAGCACTTTTGTGAATCTCTGCCAGATGCCACCAATTTGTTTTCAGGGACAAACACCACACCTATGCTACTGTTTTGGGTAATTCTCATACTTATAGAGAAATTCATCTGAGTTTGCTTACCTACATTTTTATCTGATTCTAGGGAGATAGATCATTGTCTAAATGATTTATCTAAAACAGAAACAAGGATTTAAACAAAATCTTTTGGTCCTTTCTTCCCCATCCCTCCCTCTTTTGCTCTCTTCTTTTTCCCTTCTCTTAAAACTTTCCTGGCCTCAGTTACAAACATATGTGACATACGGAGGAAGATAGAAGGTAAAATGCCAGACAACAATAAAATGTCAAGGTGAGCCAACCTCGTTTTTGGGATTCATGTACAAAGTCTGAGGGGGAAAAATTCATTTACAGGTGGGTTCTCCAGAGGAAGAATGGCACACTGCAAGGCTCTTAGGGAGAGCATAGGAGAGCTGGAAAGCTGAATGCTGAAGAATAAAATAAAGACGTAATTTATGAAAGAGGACAAATGGTAGTGAACTGAAGATACCTAGGGACACAAAATGCAGCCCAGTGTCACTATGCTGGCAAATGTTGTGTGAGGAAGAAAAGGGCTTAAAGAGACTTCTTTGACTTCTAGCTGAGCCAAAGAAGTGAGTACTCACCTACTTATTACCAAAAACATGGGATCGCAAAGTTTTAGCCAATATACCTCAATTCTGACTATCCCCAATCCTAAAAGTCACAGGAAACATACTCAGATAACTTTCTAATTTTCATGAAAATCCTTATCAGCTGGGTGTGGTGGCTCACACCTGTAATCCCAGCACTTTGGGAGGCCAAGGCGGATGGATTGCCTGAGTTCAGGAGTTCAAGACCATCGTGGACCACAAGGTGAAACCCCGTCTCTATTAAAAATACAAAAAATTAGCCGGGTGGTGGTGGTGGGTACCTTTAATCCCAGCTACCCTGAAGGCTGAGGCAAGAGAGTTGCTTGAACCCTTGAGGAGGAGGGGACGAAGCCTACCGTGAGCCGAGATCATGCCATTGCATTCCAGCCTGGGCAACAGAGTGAGAGTTCATCTCAAAAGAAAAAAAAAAAATCCTTATCATAGTTTGTGTTAAACTTAAGTTCCCTTTTCATAATTCATTTAGACCTGACTAAATATGTCTTCAAGAAATCAAATGTTTTATTCTAAACCTATCTTTAGTGGTGGCAAAGCGAAGTATGATTTGGTGATCCATAGGCCCCTTCTCATCTATGATTCCCTAATCCAGCTACAGAGCTTTTGTTCATTTTTATCAAAAGAACCATTCCCTTGGCTTAAGACTGAATGCTTTAAAAAGTCCAAAATCATAAGCCCACCAAAACCCATTTCACAGCAAGGTGCTCAGTGAAAGCAGCTAGAAAATCATGGCCCAGGGACTTTGGGCTGGAGAGACACGATGCACAGATGTGGATGTGAACTGTCTGAGGCTGGAAGCCCTGGCATTGTGTTGCAGTTGAGGAGGGGCTGCATTCAGGAAGAGCATTACCAGACATCACAGGAAAGTAAAAGACAGCATCGAGTAAGGAAACTTCAAAGACAACATTTTCTTGCTTCATAGTAATTCCCAAGGCTAAGTCTGATTATGGCATTAGTGGAAGGAGTAACATAGGTGGAAAAACTGAGGCAGGGAGAAGTTGGATACTTCTTTAATATGATGCATGGACATAGCCAATACTAAGAGACAGGCCATGCGTCAGGCAGTCATTTAACCTTCAGGCAGCTATTATTCCTCTAAATTAAACCAACACCAAGGGATTATTTGGGGGAAATGATAGACTGATTTCCTAATTTTTCAAAGGCTAAATAAAAATAGAATCAACCTCATTTTCCTGTCAATGAGAGAACAATATTCATGTACTCTTTTTCTTTTGCAGGATTAGTTCTAATCATTCATGTCTGTAAGAACTATATTTCCTGGAGAAAGACATTGGGAAAGTTGAAGTTAGAGTTACATGTTTTCAAGCTGATCGTAAAATCTTTTTCTAAGTGGAAAATAGTTTACATAATGTGGTCTTACCTTCTTCTCACCTATCCTGTCCCTCCAGTGTCTGGCTTCTGGTTGTGTAGCAAGGACATTAGGGATGGGGGAGCAAAACAGTTATAAAATGTTGAGCCCTACAAATGGTAGATTTGGCTTCTGCGATCCTGCTAATTGGGTGGGTTCCTGCTTTCTCCCGCACTCATATGTTCCTAAGGGCTTCACTGCACACATGGAGATATGTTCAGGGATTGATTCTAAAGTAAGGGACCAATGCTCACAAACTTGTGTGAATATCAGCCTTGTTATTTAGATCTGGGATTCAATTTTGTCAGTGTGCTTTGGTGTAAGATTAGAAGTAAACAGGGCCTTTGGTGAACAGGAAAGAGTGTATTACGTCCACATGGAATAAAATTTGTGTTAAAAAACACAAACCCTGTGTAGTCCAGCAAACAAAAATAATAAAAGCCCAAATATAAAACTGCAGGTCAGATTTAGCCTTTGGGATGGCAGTTTATGTCTTCTGTTTTAAAATATTTTATATTCATAAATGCCATTCCAAACTCAAACTGCAAACCAAGTATGAATTTGGGGATATTTTGGGTCATCTACCTTTCCTGCAGTACTCTTATCATTAAACTAGTAATTGAAAGGCAAGTGAACAGGAGCCATCCATTTCTTTGTCTTTCAAAATGGCACATAGATGAAGATCAAACACTGAAATTCACCAAGTATATATAGTATTAATTTGATTATGTATAGCTAGATGTTTCTTAACATAATATTCTAAAGTGATACTAGCAAAAGAAAATGATTTTCAAAAATATTCTGAGTAGCCCAAGAATGGAAACAATATAATATCACACTACTGGGAAGCAGCATCTGTGTAATATTATTGTTGCTGTTATTAACAGTATTATTTCCTAATCTGTAGCAACATTAGTATATAGTAAGAACTTAATTCATGTTTGTTGAATTAAAAAATCAAAGCCATTCTATAATTCTCCATCTTCTATAGCATATTTCAAACAAAGTCCTGAGCGGAAATGTCAGCATAATCAATAACTAACCTGCCAGCATAGCAGTGTCACAGAAATCTGAATCTTAAATTAAGACATAAAGAAAAATACCTCTACTCCCCAAGTCCCATAGATAGAAAACAACTCAGTGATTCTGTAATTTGCTCATGTCTCATTGAAATAATACATTGTAGAACTGAAACATGTACTAAGAGGACGAATGTGCAGTAAATTCAAACCAGTTAAACCTTAATAGTGTAAATGAAACCTTTAAATTGTGTGAACCACTAGCAGCCTTGCAACTCTTTACATGTGCAAAAAATTGAATGAAGACATATGGTCACCATCAACTTGGTTATTTAATTCTGAGATGACACACGTATTAATCTAACTGAAAAGGCGAAGCTACTATATAGCTGGTTGTAATTAGCCCACCACAAATTTCTATAACCACTTCAGTCTAAACCAAAAGCCAAAATGGCATTTCATGATTACACCATCCCACCCAGATTTGCATTTCTTGATGAATTCCCAAGGTTAGGCTATGAGCCATACTGTAAAACCAACCCTCAATTACACCTTTTTAGAGGGGAAGATTAGTGGCAGGTGGTGCCTGCTATAAAAGCCTCATTAAAACACCTTCTGGTGGAGTTTCACAAAAGGAAGCCACCAGATGGAGACCCATCTCCACATGGTAGTCTTACCTCAAATGAGAGTTTCACCTGACACTTTGGGGACAGACCATTTTTTTCTCACCTAACAAGCCACTGAGGTTCAAAAGACGATCTATTAGGATTAATCGTACTTGATCACTAATCCATTGTAATGCCATATGCTGAAAGCGTTGTTCACTGTTAAGCCTGGAGCCAGGTAGAGCCCCTCTGGTAATGTAAACCCTCCCATTTTCCTGCAGCTAATCTAATTTCACCTCCTCCCAGACCTCGCATGCCAGGAATGATGCTGAACTCTTCCTACACTGCCTCTGATGCATTTTTGAATGGTAGCAAATCTGATCTCAAAGGTAATGATGCTGAAACCTGCTGACTAATTGGAAAATGATTTTCCTGGTGCTGCTTGTTTAGTGGGGCGAATGGATAAAAGGTATTCATTCTATTGTGCACAAATTCAAAGACTTAGCCCTGGCCTTCTTATCTGCACAGCTTGATATTACTCATCTCCTCCTCTTCTCTCCTTCTCTAAATACGTGTTTGTTGAATCTGTGATTTACTGAATTGGAACAATCGGCCAGCTGGGCAGCGAGAGTGAAATTTATGTCACATAGAGGAAATTCTGTCACCTTATGCAGTCCCTGAAATGACAAGTATTTTTTCCAGTGGTTTGCCTTTGGTATAGGTCCAAACCCTTAAGTGCCAAACAGTGTAACTCACCACACACACGCGTGCACATACCCACATACAGTTTTCCTATGTGTTTTGTGTTATGCTGCTTACAAAGCACCACCCACTAAGCTACTTTCTTGCTCAAGGCCCATGTTTCTGAGTTGCACACATAAAGATAATCATACACACAGGCCACATGAGCCCCACACATTTTGCTCTCGCCCTGAGCTCCAATATGAAGACTTAAATGGAATAAATTTCAAATTCCCTGCAATATTTTATGGTCACTTGGTTCCAGCTCTAAACAGACTGCTAGAGGGAATAGAGAAGATAATTCATGTGCAATGTACACTAAACAAATGTCATCAAGATGGCAATAGTTGTCCTAAAGTGACACCACACCTTAAGCAAATGAGTCCAGGCCCCTGACACATGCTAAATGCTGTGTTTCACACCTTGCTAAAAAGCACTGCCCCAAGTGCCATGGTACTTAAAGCATTACTGTAACTGGAAGATCTAATCAGTGTTTCAAAAATGTGATCCTTATATTGCATAATCACTAGATAGAGGGGAGGTACTTATTAAAATGCAGATTCTTAGACCTCAACACAGACTACTGAATCAGAGTCTCCAGAGGTAGAATCTGTGCAAATACATGTTTGTTAACAAATTTTCCAGATGCTTCTGATCCACATTAAATTTTCAAGTTGGCCGGGTATGGTGGCTCACACCTGTAATCCCAGCACTTTGGGAGGCCAAGGTTGGCAGATAGCTTGAGCCCAGAAGTTCAAGATTAGCCCAGACAACATGGCAAAACCCCATCTCTACAAAACATACAAAAAATAAGTGGGGCATGGTAGTGTGTGATTCCAGTTTCAACTATTCAGGGGGCTAAGACGGGAGTTAGAGGCTGCAGTGAGCCGTGATTGTGCCACTGCGCTCCAGCCTGGGCAAGAGAGTGAGACCCTGTCTCAAAAATAGAGAAAAAAGAAAAAGAAAAAGGTGTAAAGTCCAATGAAAAGGACACAGGATCCCATTGCCCTTGATTGGTTGGGCCAAAAAGCCAGGGCTCTGAGACCACTGTACTCCTCTTTCCTCATGCAGAAAGCCCTGTGACACTGAGGTCAGGCAAGACAACGACACTGGCTGGGCTAGGAAGGGGATGAAAAACACCCCCATTGGCTTTCTGGATCAAATTTGTAACGTGCAAGGTTGCTATGAGTGTTCTGTGTTATCCAAACAGTATATCTAATATGTCCCATACTGTACGTGTTTACAAACCCTTAAAAAATCTAAAGTTTCCAATGACACTTAGTAAATAAATCACTCTAGCTTTGTTCTTACAGTTTATGTAGTCACCAGACCCCAGAGATGAAAATATAGCCCCAGCATTCTGCAGCTGGAAGAGTTTATTTTGTCATACATGAAAACTGCTAGATTTGGCCAAGCAAGAGGGAATCTCTTAAGATTTTTATTTTTACCAAAAAGAAAAAAAAAAAAAAACCACTCAGTAGTCAATATCAGTCAATCAGTTAAAATGAAGCAGGGAGGCCTCACTTTTCTTATAATTGCACACAGAGCATATTCCTTCTCTATTTGATACAATTTCTGAAAAAGCTTGGATGATACCTAGTTTCGTTAGTCTCCCCTTTTTGTTCATAAGGGCAACTTTAACATACTAAGTCAGGTAAGATGTCAACATTTTCTTGTAAGTTTTGGTAATCAAACTTCTGAGAGGTAGATCCTAGCTCACCTTCAGATGGTGGAAACCCACCTCATCTCCCTCTGCCCCTTAACCCACCTCCACTCAGCATCCATGGCATGAGTGCTTTGATAAAAAAGAAAGGAAATCAGGAGGAAGGAGTGTCCTGCACTGAAGCCTGGACTCAGAAGAGACAAGTCAAGGAGAGATCAGCCAGGATGGGTCTCCCGCAGGCTGGCTCTGGGGCCTAAATCTAACCATCAAGAACCATAGATCTTCTCTCTTTGTGTGCAGGAGAGAATTGACCCTGGCCTGATGAAGAAAATGGGAATCAGTCCTTTGGAAGGATCAGGAAGCAGCTGATTGGGCAGGGTAGCACTTTCTGCATTGAAGTCCCCATTTTCCTTGGGACATGGCGGGGCCAGCAAGGGGTTAGAGGATGATTCCCAGGTGTGTGGCTCTCCAGAGCAGCGAGAGGCATCAGAGTGGCCTCCTCCTTCTTATTTGTGAGTTACAACCTAGGAGAAGGGCCTGAGGCTGACCGGTGAGAACAATCTGATCACTAGTATCAGGCTCTCAGATCCTATTTCTACCTGGAGGCTGGTAAGGCCTAAAGATTTAAGTTCATCTTTAAAAGCTAAAACTATTTAAATTTGCCCTTGTTCTTTCTGTCTGTCTGTTGTTGTTGTTGTTTTGTTCTGCTTTGGTTTTTGATGGTGTGTTCTTCCTCTCCCTATCTCCTTTTCTCCACTGCTGCCCTGCTACTAGTGGAAGAGAAAATTAACTGTGCCATGATGCTTTTCAGGAAATATGACTCCCAGTGACTCTCAGGAAGCCATAGGGCTATGGTGGGGGAGCTCAGAATTGAGTTTGTGACATAAGGTATACAAATGATTCTGAATTTTTTCTTTACTTTTCGTTTGTATTGTTTCTTTGATAGTGACATCTATTGCTGCAAAATACTACACATCCCACAAATATCAGGGCACAGTTGAAAGCTTTCGTATAAAACAGAGTGTTCTGCTTTGATAAGAAAAGAAGCAAGACAAATTCTTACAAGGCAGCATTTACTTTTGTCTTTATCTACTATTTGCGGAATGTTGTCTTAACTCTAAATTTTCCTCGCCACGTTTCCTTCAAACATGCTTTTTCTTGTCCTTAGTTGTTATTTCTTCATTTTATCAAAATGGCTTCCCAGACTCTTCCTGGTTCTCTCCGGAGGATTCTGGATATTCCTCCATTTAAAATTTCCTGTTGTGGCTGCAGGTTGGTCACCATCCTCAGGAAATATTTGTTTTCCTCTTGACATTCTTATGTTTTTATTTACCATCCTCCAAATAGTTTCCACTCTTAAAGTCAGAATTTCTGTGTTTTCTAAGAACATAAAATATCTAAGTTTTATTCATGTATAGCTGTTTGCTGTTCACATTTTTGTGGATCAGAGAAAAGTGAACACGCATGGCCCAGCCTTCAGCTTTGCGTGTGCTAATATGTGGAAAAAGCTCTCGGTTCAAGAGTAAAGAGAGATGGTCATGATATCCAAAGAGCAAACCCCCAATTTTTTCCACACTCCTTAGTCAATTTAGTTATCAAAATAAAACATTTTTTCTTCTTCTGCAAAGCATTTACTTGTAGAGCTTTTATCTTCTCTGGTTACCTCAGATTTTCCCCAAAGAAGAAATCTAAGCCCAATTAGGGTGAGTGAAGGGAGGGAGGGGTAGAGTTAGGTGCCAGAATCCCCAGCGACTGCTCTCACTGGAACAGACCACAAGATTCTCTCAACCACCCCATTTTTTTCCCATTTAACTAATAGAAGGCTGGTAGTGACCTTTGCAGGCCAGTGGGCAGGAGCTGAGAAATACTACCCTAAATGAGCCAGGATGTATATCTGTTTACTACACAGCATGCTGGCCTGAAGCTAATGACATTAATCCCCCTACTGCTTTTCATTAGGTGACAGACAGGGAGCCACACTTCGGAGGGCATCGACTGCTTCTCCCCATCAGCCAGCTGCGAAGAGGAGTCGCTCCGGGAACAGCGCCGCCCTCCCCTCGTTTGCTTTTCTTCCTCTATTATTCCTGACATGTTCACTGAACTACAGACTGCATATGTTTAAAAATAATTAAACGCGCTCCAAACAAATAGGCAATGTTTCCACGATCCCTGCAATGAACGTTCTGCGTGTTTTGACAGATTTTTCTGTTCGTTGGATTCATCAAGCAGCCTGGCTCTTTGCTGTCATTCCCGACAACCTTGCAGATAAACCCCCAGGGCAAACTCTCTGGCCTGAGCTCCTTCCTGGGCCCTGATCTTGGGCACAGAGAACTTCCAGCCTGAGAGTCCCCAGACCTTCAGGGGAATCCATGTCTGGGCTCCCAGGACAAAGTGGTTCACAAATGGAGTCATTAGACAAAAGGGAGACTGGCTAAATAAATGTGGGGTTCTGTTTTGAATGGCACTGCTATATTGCACTAAGAAAAGAGACTAGAAGGAAATCCTATGAGAAAACTGAAAGATTACCGAGGCGCATTAGGACCGTTCTCACCCCTCCCCGTTGGCAAATCCTGACCTTCCACATCCCTGCATGTCAACCCCCTTCTTTTTAAAAAATTAAAATCTCTCTACTAAAAAATGAAGATAAAGGAGAAGATATAGTTTATAAAGCTACATAAAATACAATATAACCAAATAAATGAAAGTATGTATAAAGAAAGCTAATTAACGAGAAAATACTGTAAAAAGGTAAGAAAGAGACTTGGTGAATTTAGGGCATAAAAAAGATGCTAAAATTAAGAGAAGCCTAATTGATTCCCCAACAGAGATGAAGGTCTTCCTCATACAAAGGATACATGGGATATCATCAACAATGTCCTCTTCAGTATTCATTAAGGAACAAATTCATAGATAAGTGAGAGTGTCTTTATCTCTCAACATAGGCTTACCACATCTTGCAAAAGTGTAACTACTCTGGAGGAATTCAGAGGAATAAGGAGTGTATGGATGTGTATGTCTGAGTTGTGACAAAGGAAGAGGGTGAGAGAGGAAGGGGAGGAGTGATCAATACGGCTTGATTCTGAACACAGCTCTAATGGTCTGGCTTAATCCAGGGACAGCTTTGAGCAACCATAGGAATGGATATTCTTTAAATTCTTAGGAAATATGCTCAACTGCGATTTGAATCAATATTGACAGCAATTAATGTGCAGGGACATTCATTTACCCATTGACTGCTCTAACAGTTGGTGGTGTCCAAGGAAGTCTTAATATCACGTGAATATTAAAGAGCCAAGAAGAACCTGCAGGAAGGTTCAAGTTTCTCCTCAGGGAGGGATGTTTTAGTGTGCTGCAAAACTGTTTATCAAAGTACTCAATTCTATACCAGGAATTGGCAAACCGCAGCCTGTGGGTCAAATCAAGCCTGTACTAGTTTTTATGTGGCCTGAGAACCATAGTCTGGGCCTTGTTTTTAATGGCTTAGAAAAAAAATTGAAAGAAGGATAATAGTTTATAATGTGACAATTACTTGAAATTCAATTTCAGGATTCATAAATGAGGTTTTATTGGAACCCAGCCAGGCCAGTTCATTTACATATTGTCCATGGCTGTTCTTGTGCTACAATGGCAGAGACGCAACACAGACTTTATGGCCTGCAAAGCTGAAAATATTTACAATGTGGCCCTTTGCTGAAAGAGTTTGCTGACCTTTGTTATATACCATAAGCAACAGATCATGACTACAATATTGTTAATACTTTTTCTGATTTCTAAACTTAAAAACAAGCTCCAAATTTTTCAAGTTTTCTAGATGGCTATTTGATAATATGTACCAAATAACATAAAGCTTCTTTGCCTTTTGAGTCATAAAATCCACTTCTAAGGAACTTATCCAATACTGGAAAGTGGGAAACAGCGTAGATACCCAACAACATAGCTAATAATTACATAAATTACGATACAGCTATACAGTGAAATGCTCTACCCATTAAAAGAATGATGAGCTATATGTTACCAGGACAAAAATAAATTAGTGAAAGCATTCTGGCTGGGTGCTCACGCTTGTAATCCCAGCACTTTGGGAGGCCAAGGTGGGCAGATCACTTGAGGTCAGGAGTTTGAGACCAGCCTGGCCAACGTGGCCAAACCTGGTCTCTACTAAAAATACAAAAATTAGCCGGGCATTGTGGTGGGTACCTGTAGTTCCAGCCACTCAGGAGGCTGAGGCACAAGAACTGCTTGAACCCGGCAGGTAGAGCTGCAGTGAGCCGAGATCACATCACTGCACTCCAGCCTGGACAACAGAGCCAGACCTTGCCTAAACAAAACGAAACCAGACTGGGCTTTCATTGTGCTAACTGAGAAAAACTATGGAATTATATGGATCCTTGAAAGTTTAGATTTACATTTCATGGGCATGGAGATACTTTTTTTTTTTTTTTTTTTTTTTAGAAGAAAATGAGTCTGGGAAAGAAATGGATCTGGACTACCTTAGACCATTAGAGCCATGTTTGGGATCTAAATGTATTGATCGCTCCTCCCCTTCCTCCCTCACCCTCCTTGCTTGTGACAACTCAGACATGTAACATTCACACACTCCTTACTCCTCTGAATGTCTCCAGAGCAGTTATACTTTTGCAAGATGTGGTAAGCCTATATTGAGAGATAAAGACACTGTCACTTATCTATCAATTTGTTCCTGAATAAATACTGATGAAGATATTGTTGATAACATCCTAATGTATCTTTTGTATGAGGAAGACTTTTGTCTCAGTGGGGAAAACAACAAGGCTTCTCCTAATTTGGCAAGTGTTTTATGCCCTAAACTCACCAAGTCTTTCCTATCTTTCTCATAGGAAACAAAAATAAATGGACAACTCACGGAAAAGAAAATGGAAATAGTTCATAAACACAAAAAAATACACTAACCTATTTTAAAATGAAAGAAAAGAGAAGTGAAAGAAATGCACAAATTTATTCCTAATTTTGAAATTAAAGCTAAAAGAATATTTTTCATCTTTTAGATTGGGGAATATCAAAATGTTTGTTAGCATATGACGTTGAAGGAGGTAAAATCAGGGACTATTATATGTTGCTGAGGGGATGCAAACTTTATGGAAAGCATTTGCACTATTTATCCAAATTTAAAATCTGCACACTTCAGATATGGGAGTTATACCATATATATATGTGGAATCTTGTAAGTGATTAGTAATTTCATAAAATGTAGACAGTGGCATTGTGTATAATATAAAATGATTGCAAATAGCTTACATGTTAATCAATAAGTGTCAGGTCAAATACATTAAGAAATATTCAAACAAATGCAATTTTTTTTTTTTTGAGACGAAGTCTCATACTGTCTCCCAAGCTGGAGTGCAGTAGTGCAATCCTGGCTCACTGCAACCTCTGCCTCTTGGGTTCAAGCGATTCTCCTGCCTCAGCCTCCCAAGTAGCTGGGATTACAGGTGCCCACCACCATACCCAGCTAATTTTTTGTATTTTTAGTAGAGACAGGTTTTCACTATGTTGGCCAGGCTGGTCTTGAACTCCTGACCTTGTGATCTGCCCACCTCGGCCTCCCAAAGTGCTGGGATTACAGGCATGATCCACCGTGCCTAGCCACAAATACAATTATTAAAAGGGATAAGGCAGTTTCAAATGAACAGATATGAAATGACCCCAAACACCTATCTTTCAGTGTAAAAAGCAAGGTAGAATAGCGGGCTTAGTGGGTAACCATTGTGTTACAACACCAGAAGATATACAATACACCTTTATGTGCACAGATTATCTATGGAAGGATATACAAGAAACTAGTAACAGCACTCTCCGGAAATGTAGGCAAGACACTGGTGAGAGAGAAACCTCTTTCTCATGTTACTTTCTAGACCTTTTGAATTTTATACCAAGAGGGTATATTCCTTCTTAAAAAATAGAAGACAGAAGAAAAAGAAAGGAAAGGAGAAGTCAAAGAAAGAAAAAAGGAGTGGCAGAATATAAATACAAAGAAGGAATTGTTTGCATGACACAGAAAAACAACCTAAACACTGTCTTCAACTAGTTGTCTCACTGAGGTTCTCTTTGAAGTGCCTAGAAGATCTCATCTCTATCTTCTAAAATCCAGTTTGCTTTAATTTTTTCATTGTCTCTGCTTGTTGTGGGTTTAAATGTGTCCCCCTCAAAAAATATATTTTGAATTTCTAACCCCCGAGTATCTCAGAATGTGACCTTATTTGCAAATAGGGTTTTTATAGAGGTAATCAACTTAAAATTATGTCATTAGAGTGGGCTCTAATTCAATATGACTGATGTCCTTATATAAGGAAAATCTGAAAAGGGGGTTAGACAGAGGAGAAAGATGATGTGAAGACACACAAAAGAAGGAATAAGACAAACATCTAGAAGTCAAGGAACACCTGAAGCTATGAGAGGCAGAGTGGAGAGGAAGAGAGAAAGAGAGAGGGAGAGAACTGGAACAGATCCTTCCCTAGTATCTTCAGGGAGCACAATTTTGCCAATACCTTGATTTTGGACTTCTGGCCTTCAGAACTGGAATACAATCAAGTTCAGTTGTTCTAAGCCATCCAGTTATAGTAGTTTGTTATAGCAGCTCTAGGAAACAAATATATTAATCTATCCTACTCTCTCTGTCTTCCCCCCCAAAATTTTTTAATCAACATTCCCCTATTAAAAGATGAAAATAAGAGGAGGAGAAGAAAAATTCATAAGTCATAAAGAATATGCCTGACTACATGATATTAAAATACTTCTCTATGGAAAAAAAAAAAACAAAAAGACACAAATTAAATGATATTCAGTAAAGATATTTGCAAATACTATCACAGAAATATTTTAATTTCCTTATTTATTGGCAGATTTTAGATTAAAAAAAATTAAAACATCCATTGTTGTCACTAAAAATGTCTCAATAAATTACCTATTAAATGTCTCATTTTAACCCATGTGACTTACCTAGTATGCTAAGACAACCTAATTAAAAATTACTCCTTTACACACTATAGGTACTTAAGATAATTAGCTACAAAGTAGCTACAAAAATATCTACCAAAATGCTGGTTTTACTTCAGAAAAGTTGAGACATAATTTTTTTTCTCACAGTAGTCTAGTGCATAAAAATAAAATGTCCAAAAATTTATAATAGAGTATACGTGAATATGATGGTTTTAAAACAGATGCAAATCCTTTTAACTCTCTTCCCATTGAGAAGTGCAGTCTATTGTTCCTTTCCTTATTCCTGGGAGACCCGTGATCGATTCTACCAATAAAGGATGGTGGAAGTGACACTGCAACTTCTGAGGTGACACTATGCAAAGACCACTTGGTGTGCAACTTCCACCTTGCTTGGCTGGAATACTTGGTTGTCATGGGGGAAGTGTTCCTTGAACTGCCATGTTGGAGAGGTTACTTGTAGACACTCGAACCTACAGTCCTAGCTAAGCTCAGCCTGGCAGCCACATCCACTGAGGTGTCAAATATTGGGTTGGTGCAAACATAAATTGTGGTTTCTGTGTTGTTGAAATTTGCCATTTGATATTGGAATACTACATTCTTTCTTTTGCTTTTTTTTTTTTCTTTGAAATGAGGTCTCACTCTTGTCACCTA